GTCCGTTGTGACCGAAACTCTTATCACAGTAACGGCACACGAACGGCTTCTCTCCGGTGTGAACCCTCATGTGATCACGGAGCTGTTTCTTACATGTGAAACTCTTTGCACACTCGTGGCATGTGTACGGGTTCTCTCCAGTGTGAATTCTGATGTGATCGTTAAGGTTACCTTTATTTTCTCCATTTACGAAATGAGGTTCGTGATGCTGATGTTTTCCATTCCACTTCAGTCAGTTCTTGACTTTCCTCTTTCACCGCCACCAGGACTAAAAAGGACATAGTGAAAAAAAAAGGAAAAAATATAGCTGCGAGCAGCGATGGCGGGCCCCAAGCCGGAGGCACCGCAACCCCGGTTCCTTTAGTTACCTAAAGGCACCCGGGTGGCGGTGCCGAAGGCTTTGGCCCTTTCATGATTAAATGTTAAAACGGCTTGCCATACTCTGTCATTTCGACTAGTCACAATTATGTTACAGATATCTTAAATGATAATACAAACTATCCAAAGTGTAACGACTAGACAGAAAGACTTTGTTGATATCTACAATGTTAATTCCGGACAGGCAAACTTAGCTTTTAAATGTTAAAAGGGCTTGCCATACAGGGACGTAGGCTCAGAGAGAGGCTCACCATATTCAGACCAAAATATCTGACTTCCTCTTGGTCCGAGCTAATGACTATATATTAGAAAGTTGTACGGCTTGAGGAGTACAATGTATATACCGATTTTTGTAACTGTAGATAAAACTAACAACCCCACTTTTAAGTATATATATGGTGCCTTTAGTGTTATTCTGCACGACGTGCAAAAACTTAACCCCCGCTTTTTTAAGTATATATATATATATATATATATATATATATATATATATATATAATATATATATATTATATATAAAGAGGGTTATTCTGCACGACGTGCAAAAACTTAACCTCCGCATTGACTGTCGAAGAGAGAAGTGTGCAGAAGAGCTTGCATCAGTGAGGGCTTTGCAAAATATATATACATACAAACACACACACACACACACATATAAATGAGGTTAGTGTTTTACAATATTAAGGAAAGCAAATGTATTGAAATATAGCACATTAATTTTAAATTCATTCAGCTTCAATTACCAATTTGTAGTTTACCAATTTATCTTACTTTTATTTAAAGCAAACTATACATTTTAAACGATTAGGGTTATATGCATATTTTGTCATTTAAAAAAATACAAAATTGTTATGCAAAAAGATAAGGACTTGCAGA